ATGAATGAATCGGTAACTAGGGCTAGATCTTTGTTATAGGGAGCATCTCAAGGAGGACCCTTATGGTGGACGTTAATTTAAGTTTATCGGTATTGGGCAGCTCACAGCTCACGGGGATTTAAGAAGATCAAAGTTCAGAATGGGAAAAAATCTTTATTCTTACTCCCTTGTTGATTAGAATTTCGTTTCCTTGATTGTTCGCAGAGTATGAGCTCTCGTGGATCCAAATCGGCGAAATATTTTCGACAAAAGTGATTCATTAGGGGCTTTCGGAAAAGACTTTGGAGTAGAGGGGCCTTAGTTGTCGATATATCTGAGTCTTAAGGCGGAAGTGTCAGTAACTAAGGTCTCTTAGTGTCTTCTTCCAAGACTCGAGCTAGGCATCCCATATGCCGGACCTGTAACAAATTTTTAAATACTCCCATCTCGTGCTCGCCTATTCTTTCCATTAAAATGGGATTTAGTGTCTTATGGAAAATGTATTAGAGTAGATTCTCTTGGCATGACCAGAGGGATGTCTGTGAGCACCAAGTGAACCAACGTAGTAATTTAGACGAATAATTTCTCGAATTTACGTGAGCTAACGTATGGAAGGTCCTACAACAGGTGGAAGTTCATTTTTCCACCTGGGAACCCAGTTGGTCATCAAAGTCTGAAAGTGTTCTCGAACAGATTAGATGGAAGGCTTGCTTCAACTCATTCGGCATTAATTCATAAATGAGCGTTATTCTCCAAGCCTGGCGGACTTTGAGATTTTGTCAAGTTGGCCTCAACACCTTTAGGGTCCTTTAAGGCCGGAGTTGGATCTGCTTAGAGATCAAACTAGTGGTAAAGTTTTGTATGCATCGTGTTTAGGGCAAAAACCAGAATGTTTACTTTTGGGGCTTTCCAGCTATTTCCAATAATGTCAGGTTTTTTAGTTCCAACTCTGTGAATTATTAAAATGCCCTATTTTTTTGTAATTTTTCTCCATTTCGTTGTACATGAGTCCAGTGCAAGGCTTGAATGTCAATTTCCACCTCTCCGGCCAAATGAGTCTGACGAAAGCCTGCTTATCGGTCAGAAAACCAGACGAAACGAAGCGTTCCTAAAACAGGTGAGGACGGTGGTACTTCTTGCATCGTTTCGTCCGGCTTTTCCATATTGCATGACTATATTTATGCCCGGCTTCAATGAGGCGATGCGAGGTGATTTGACGGAAGAGCTAGCGCGAAGCGATGGCCAGAAATGCGACAATCTGGCCTAAAATCCATCAGATTTGAAGTCGAGGTGTAAAGCAGACTCAGCCTAAATTTTTGCATTCCCATCGGGCCTAAAATATGTCTTATTTTTCGCTTAAGAAGGTTTTCGAGACCTACTAAACGAAATAGGATGAATAAATCTCAATTATCTGCAAGGTGTCTGAGTACTTATCCTCCTCACCTCCTTCATTGGACAGACCAACCCACTCCCCACTTAGCCGTTGGATGAAGAAAAGCTCCACATTCTTGAAACGACAAAAGTATGGTGACTGTTAAATTGGCTCTGAGGAGTTGAGCTATCGTGAAATGACAACGTCGTAACTTCGTGAGTTCCGACTTCACCAGTCTCCACTTTTTACTTTGTCTGACCTTCAATAATCATCTCGGTGGGGCTCGAGCTCTGAAAATACGGTTCGGGTGACTATAAGGCGTCGGCACGCTGCTGAGATACACCGTCTATCATGTTGTACCACAAAACCTGATACCAATGCAGCCTATGACGAGGTGGGGCGTGACAAAGTGAAGTGGAATTTGGGAATTGAGCTCTCCATTCAGTTTCTCTCGGACGTCTGCATCACTCAATCCGATTCCTGTTGATCGCCGTCAACTCAGCCTCAACAGCCTTCGTCGCATAAACATTCTTTGTACCCCTTTTGTGATAGTGTAGAAATGAGATCAACTCATAAACGATTCCCTGTTTGAGCAAATCGAAAAAATACTCTTAATGGCCGCTTCT